TGGAAAATATATTATTACTATTAGTATTTGATGAAATCAATGATTTATTCAATATTTCACAAAAAATTTACAGTATAAAACGCATCCAAATTAAATAATTCACCAGCTTTAGTATTAATGCCAAAAATGTTTATACCAATTTTTGATTCAATGAGATCCTAAACAAAAGGACAATATAAATCAGTACCAATATTATTACAATAATGCTATATTATACATGCTAACCTTTGCACGAGTTATGGCAGTACTACGTAAATATTCATTCATTGGATGGGGATTATCACAATCAGTTATTAAAAAAATTCTTTTTGTCTTGATCGTGGGTGAAATTCTAAAATATTAGATATTAAATAACAACAAATATAAGTCATCCCCTGAAAAGAAGAATGATGAAAATAATTAAGAAAACTGACAAAAGATTAAAAATATCACCGCAAACCCAAAATACATCACCAAAAGGGAATTCACCATCCCATATTCCGATTTTTTCTTCAAAATCAAAATCACCTAGAATTATACAACAAAATAAAATACCAAATATGTTTATGATATGTAATATATAAACATATGTGAAAGTAGGTATATATAAACAGATCAAATAATACCAGATACAATTTCGTTTAATTCTTTTATTCTGTGAATATCTAAAGAATCAATATTTTGTAAGACATAAATATGATCTTTTTCAAGCCTATTTTGCGCATTTTTCTAATAATTTAAATAATAAATTTTGCTATCTCTGAGTAATTTCAAAAAAATATAATAGTGTTTATTATTAATAATAATATTCCTTACTGTTCCAATAAGCATAACTCCCATTAAATCTTTATTTTGTTCAGTAGTCATTTTATCAAACATTATTTCTGATATGCATTTTATTATTGAATTAAATGTTGAATATTGCTCTTGTTCTTGCATTTGTTCTGAATTTTGACTAGGTTCATTTGAAAACATTGTAGGAGTACAATAGATAACAAATAGAAGCGCATCACGACTGCTGTTCATTATCTGTAATTATTGGTGGTAATGGGCAATAGGTGAATTATTGATTTAGACATTTAGTATGTAAATATTGTAATTTAATTGCATTACACTATTAATTTAGCTCACCTTTTGTACTTCGAGTTTATCTTCTTCTAATTCTTCATCCTGAAAATCATTATCACCATCGTATGAACGTTGACTAAAACTTATTATTGTACCGGAAGAAGACATTTTTGTTTATTATTATTAAAAAATTTTGAATTTACGTATTATTATTTTTTGATCTTCAACAATAAAGATATGTGTCACAGAGGAAATTTAGCAACCACACAAATTCCCATTTAAAATAGTAACGCGTCTAAAAGTTATAAAATAAAATCAAGTGTTTCATTGGCCACCTATTGGTAAAAGAATGCATTTCTTTGCTCTAAGTTTCACGAGTGGCTGTATATAATTACAGTGCGGTTCTTTTTGGAATATCTAAGCAATAGTATTTCCCTCAAAATTCAAAACTTTATCTGGTTCAAGCTCTGTTTGTTAATACACCAAAACCTTTTTTTGGGAAATTTTAAAAAAATATTTACAATTGATGTAAGTGTAAATAAATATGATTTTCTATATTGATTGGATGATATATAAATTATTGTAGTAAGTGAATATATACGTAAATTAAATTATTTTCGTATTTAAACATAATAAGATAATACAATTAAATTGCTTAAATTGGATAAGATTATTGTATATATATAATATACAAGGAGAAAGATTTTTTGGAGTGAAGTTGGAATTGGTATTGCATCATATTATAAAATATTATCCACTAATATAAAAACTTGGAACGTCCTTATTCGTATATTACAAAACTTGATCACAGTATCAGAAAATAGTCTTTCAGAAGGAACGGATGAAGAAGAAATTGTTATTACTGTCGTGGTGGTGGACTTTGTAGATGACAGATGAGCGATATATAATAATTTATACATGGAATTTTTTAGAGAAAAAACTTATATTTGGATTACACATTTCGAGTTTGATATGTGGCATTTACCGAACAAACCATCCAATCCGATTTATAGAAAAGTTTGTATGACTATTCGCAATGTAAACGTAATTCGTTGGCCTTTTTGTTTTTTATGTAAACTACCATTCATATTTTTCTCTGCGACTTGCCTTTACGACAGTTTCCATTTTTTAGTACAATTTGCGTGACCAACAATTCGCTCTATTGCGTGTGCTCACCAACTGAAAACAAAACGAAACATGTTTCTTTTATAATTAGTTCCTAGTGGTTTAAATTATTTTCGCCCAGAATCTTTAGTTGAGATTGTTGTTCGCGTTCACGTATTTTAGTAGATTGAGTAGTAAGTACTGGAAGAGGAAAAAGTTCTAAATGAATTAACAAGCAATAATAGTTCTAATAGTTACTTGATTAAATGATCTTGATTTCTAATTTATAGTGACATCGTTGCAAACAGTCTCTTGTTTTAGTTCTCTAATAGCTAAAACATTCTACTTTTTTAAAATTGTCATTTTGTTTTTTAAAAATATTCCCCAAGATAAGTTGTTAATTGAACAGTTCTGTAGGTTTTCGTAATATATATAAACAATAAAAACAAATCATATAGATCTATTTAATATATATATTGCTTATACAAAGCCTTCGGTCGTTTCAAAGTTTGAAACTATCGTCTTCATTACTACCAATTGTTATGTGAACATGCAATTAATTAATTATTATAGATAAATAAAGGAGAGCTCTTTAATCCCATAAAGTATTAATTGTCTTTTAATGTTTCTTATTTAAACACAGACTTTCCATCCAAACTTAACGTTAAAAAACAATTAATTATTTTTTATTTTTGTATGACAGTCCAGTGTACAACTAAGCCACTTTTTTTACTGAAATTTTGATTTTATCTCATGCTCATATAATATGTTGTCTAATATGTTTCAACTTTAGAAGCATTGGCTCTTTGAATATCTTGAGTATCTATTAGTGCAATGAGTGCAGCAAATAAGCAAGGTAAAAATACTAACAGATGGTCTTGATGTTTTAGCTGTTATAGATAAAAAAAACCATCAAATTTTGAACTCGGATGAATATCAGAAATAGATTAAGGAATAGAATCAACAAAGGAGTTCTAAATTTTTTTTTTAGAACCGATTCCAAATTTGGAATCAATGGATGGAATAATATTTTTCCTGCACTTGTAAAAAATTTTTGGCAATAATAATAAGGCACAGATTTCGATATGAGAAATTATTTACAACGTATTGATAAAGAAAAAAGAAGAGATTGGAAAGGATTTTATGCACGTTCAACACATCCAGAACATGAAATAAAAAATTACTTAATTGATAACATTCATAAAATTTGCCCGGGGTTTAAATACCTTGTGGATTTCGAATGGGAAATTGAAGAGGGTCATCCTAACAAAGGAAAAGGAGATTTGATTTTTGGATCAGATTACAAAACTTATTTGACAATTGAAACTAAATCTCTTCATACAGGAAGTGGCAAGACTGCTCAAGTTTCTAGACATAATGCTAGACGTAGAGTTAAAGAGCAAGCTGAAAGATATAACGAATTTGCTACTAAAAGATTTGGAGTAGAAGTTGTTGATGTGATTGGAGCTACATTCACCAATGAAGATTATCGAATTCATTTTCTTGA